TCTAGCGCTTGGCACGTGACGCGGCAGTTCGAGTTGCTGTTGTTGCTGGCTGCTGAGCACAGAGATTGTTCCCGCAACCTTTAACCCCCCCTGTGAAACCCCCCATACCATCCTACGCTCATGTTTTGTGTGACAAGTTGGCTTTTTGCTGGGTCTCTCTTGTTGTTGTCGCTTGTTGTTATACTACTTTTCTTCTCATTCTCATTCTTTTCTATTTTTTTCAACAAATTGGTTATTTTATTGAATTACTCAAGCAGCAGGAGGTAGCCCTCCCTCTCCTTCTCCCTTCATGCCTCTGACTTTCTCGTCTGGCTTGCGTGATTATATTGGCCTAAACAGGAGTAGCAAAGGGAAGCAGACAGGGGTAAGTGGGTGGAGCTCACAAGTCGCGACTTTAAGGACATTGCCTTTGCGTGTCTCTCTCTGTGCTTCCCCTCCTTCTTGCCACTGGTGTGGTGTGTATGTGACTTAAGTAGTTTCGCCGCGTATAATAAATTTTCTAGTTTAAACTCATTTATTGCCCTAGTCGTCGTCGGTGTCGTAGTCGAAAGGATGAAAGAATGGATTGCGGGCTGAATGGGCGTGGCCTAACGATTTCAACTCCTCCCAACCGATGCCATATAATGGCCATTTGTTGTATAATTTTCACATTGTTTAGTGTCCCGAGCCAGAAGTAACTTCCGCTTCTTAGCACAGAGAGTGCTGCTACCTCCTCTCTTGGGTTTTTATTTATGATATATAGATTACTCAGCGAGTTGCTAAAGTAACGGCCAAAGTGCTTTCTCTCGGGTTAAATACTTCCCATTTCAAGTGTAGGAGGGTGTAGCAGCGGGGTTAATTACGTTTGAAAATTATAGGCTACCGGGGAAAATGTCTTAATACGCGTGGAATTAAATTGGAAATTCGAGGGGGAGAAACTTTAACCCTGTAAAAGATGAACAGAAAGCCTTGTGGTTTGTTTTATTAAGGGGATATAATTGAGCTCTAATTAAATATTTGAAACGTAGTTACTGGTATTAAGTTCCTTTTTTAGATATATTTGAATATAAACATCCCTCAGTGGGTTAACAACTTGCCGTAGCCCTCAGATAGATACAAATCAATCGCCTCACACTCACTCACCTGGCAACTAATTGGCACACGTGTCGCCCCCACAGCACATCTAATCAAGTAATCAGACAGTCCATGGCCTTCGCCGTTGCGTAATTGCATCATTACTCACAGCTAATAAGCTGAAACTTTGCCTCAAGGCGCAACTTTTGCCATTGCCTACTTTTTGGCGGCCATCTGTCGGTGGTCGGACCTGATGTGCTCTTATGGCAGGGATCAAATCACCTGGCTAGCCGCAAAATGGCTTTAAATGGGCTCTGGCCTTGGGCAAAATAAATGCTTGTGGATTTTCTTCTTCGATTAAAGGAGGAGGACTATCTGCGTTGATCTTAAGGTTATGGGTGGGCTTAGGTACATAGAGAAAAAAAGGATGAAAGATTATTTATTTTTAAGGATTTTTAAATGAAAAGTGACTTTGTGTTAGCAGCAAGATAACTTAAGAGAAACACAACTTGACCAAATTTAAACAGAAAAAAAATTCCATTTCAATTTCAAGAATGTTTCCTTGTTTTCGCAAGGATTTCCAGTGGCTCCAGTGCCGGAATCTCTATTTGCGATTTGCCCTACAGCTTAATTTCCTGACGCAAATATCAACAAGGCCAAGTGAGATGCGATGCGCCGCTAAGATGAAGCCAGCCGGCGGCCCCAAAGCGCTCTAATGAAATTACAACGCAGTTTGGTTAGGGCTGCAGGAGGAGCGGTGGTGTGATAAGGGGAAGAGGGATCATTGGTGGTATAAAGCGGAATGTGGCAACTGCTCACCCCTGTAAGCCAAAGTGGCAGTGGGAAGTCAACTAAAACTAAGCTCATTTAATGCGTTGCATAAGCGACAAGCGTGAGCGGGCCGACAAACATGGGCAAACACCTACAGGCAGAGACAAACACACACACACATACATACAGTATACCAAACACAGACAGACAGACAAACAAACAGGGAAACACCTAGGAACCGGAAATGGAGACAAGAAGGAGCAGAAGAAGAAAAACAGGTTCACGCGCACACGCCGGCATTTGCACTTTTACGTTTATCCCGAGGATAATTTAACACTCCATACAAATGCAAACAAATGAGCGGCAAGGCAAGGCAAGTCTCTCCCTTCTGCCCCCTCTAACCCCCCGCTCACTTTTACATACGTTTGTGTAAACCAGTTACAAAAAAAAATACAAAGAAGAGCAGAAAAAACAACATTTATTTACTTGCAAGTAATACCCGGTAATGGGTTTTTAAAACAAATCCGCTGCGGGCCTGTAAATGAACTTCTCTCTTTCCGTCTGGCAATTAAATTTCAAATATCAACACACAAACACACACACACACACATATATATATATATTTACTCACACACCAAGGGAAAGTGTCATTATATAGTTAATTAAACAAATATTTTGTGCAGATAAAACGCTTTAATTAATGCTCTTACAGGACTCGAATAACCTAGCAGAAGTTCGCATTAAATTTACCCAAACACCTGAAAAGTATGCAATGAAAATTCTTTTCGTGCCTGTGTGGCTCGTTTTGGGGCCATTTTGATGTGGGTCGTTTCGGGCCACTCGGTGGCTTTGCTATGCTATCTATGGCAGTGGGAATATATTTTTGGACTAACAAAAACCATAATCTACATGCTTCTGAATCAAAGGAATTTTTGGGTAGAACATTAAATTAGAGTTTGGATTTTTTTAAACAAGAAACAGCACAGGAAAATATTGATTAGGCTTAAGAGTACGTTGACTAAGCTTGTATTTATTATAATTTAAGGCTTTCAGCTTTAATAGTTTGCAAACATTCTTTCCCCTTTTCTCCAGGTCATCTCCCCTTCGAGCACGATTCTCAAACTTAATTTACCTCTTTATGCGACCTTTCTTTTTACATATTTCGTCCACGAGCTGTCGCTGGGCGTGCGATTTTTCAATATCCGGGCGGAACATAAATGACCACTTTGATGGGCTTGCTGCAGAATCCCGCCCTTCACTCCTCAAATGAAGAGAGAGAGAGAAGGGACCCCATGCCGTGTGACACATGGTCTCGTGTTGACGCGCCATAAAATATGCAATGCATGCAGTGTGTCAGCGTTTTAACCATCCAACCACCCAAAAGAGCCACCTCGCCTGCTTGCTCCACCTGATTTTATTTTCCAACTCCAATAACTCAGCAGGTCGCGAGCGGACCAGGCCAAAAGTCATTTCGTTTTTTGTCAGGCCCATCGCACAAAACTATCAATAATATGCCACGCCCACCAGAAAGCAACCCATCCAAATGTATATATATATATTTGAGAGATATATACAGCGAGCCGTTTCGGCTCAGCGGAGCACCACATTCAGACATATATAAACTGTTTTGCTTTATGACTTTTATATGCAGCCGAGCGGTTGCGGGGGCAGTTGCAAATATTTTTAATATGCTTCGGCGAATGTGTGGTAGGTTAAAAAAAACGAAATAAAAATGCTTACAATGGCTGCTCCATTGGGTTCTTTTTTTTTAACTTTACGTTTCGGGGTTTTTACGTGTGCTGGCTGCCCCCTTAAATGTTGGAAACACCGCTTGGCATATTGAATAAAGTGGACAACATTTTGCCGAAGGATCGGATCTCTGTTTTGGGTTTTTGGCCACGGTCATGCGGGGCTTTGGTTTGTTTAGCTTTAAAATCCACTAAATGGCCGGTCATGGCAATAACAGGATGTGGTAGATGCAGGATCCAGGATGCTGGCTGCTGGCTGCTGGCTGCTGGCTGCTGGATTTTGACTGCTCGATGCAGGATATACGCAAAACCAAAACCGACATTTGGTCCGCAGTATGCATATGCATTCGTTCGGCCCCAAAAGAGAAATGCACAGAGACAGACATGAAATTCAATCAATTGGAAATTCCATATCAGTGAAAATATTTTAATATTTATGCAAAATATTTACGCACATGCAAAGGGAGAGCAGAAGAAGTGGCAATAGTAGTAGTAGTAGCAGTAGCAGAAGTAGCTGTAGGGATGGCAACGTTTAGCAGGTTTACCCAGCGAAAATAATAATAATATTGAAATTGATTTTATTCATAAGGACGTTGAATATTTATGCAACCGTGTTCAATGTAATTATGCCATTGGTTTGGTTGTTGTTGTTGTTTTTTTTCACTTCTGGTTATGAAAATGGAAATGAATAACGCATGGCATAGGTAAATGTGGATTAAATTAAGCATTTAAAGCTGAGTGCGCCGAGATTTATGCTATGATTTTTTGTGTCTTTACTCGTTAGAACAATCTAAAATCAAATGCAACTCACGTTTGGTATTTTTTTGGTATTGCAATTGCAATTGCAATTGCATTTTGCGAGTGCAGTGTCAACCATTCTATATGGCTTGTCATAGCCAACCGCTTTTGACATCGGCCTGTCAAATGCAGCTCTCTCGCTGCATTTGTGCAATCCAAGAAGGATTTCGTTTGTCTCATTTCGCCCCCATACCCTCAATGAATGTCACATTTGACAAGCACTTTCTTCCATGCTTTCTTTCTTTCTTTCTCTATCTATCTGTCTATCTATCTAACTGTGTTGGCTCCTTGCAACGCCATCTTTGCTTGCCATGTTGTTTCTGGTTTGACAGTTATGGCACACAAATGTTGTTCTGTTTGTGATATGCCAGTGGTTGCTGTGTGTTGGTGTTGTTAGTGTTGAAAACATTCTTCAGTTTATTGTTCTTCTAAACGATGGCATTTTAAATTTGATTGTTAATAAAAGTTAGAAATTAAAAGAGGGTTAATTGAAAGGTTTTTCTAAGCAGCAAGATGATAAAAACATATACTAAATGACGTGTCATTTAAGAAGCTTATTTAACATCTTAATATATATAATTATTTACTTATATAATACTAAAAAATATCTTATTCTCCTCCCCCATGCAGATACAAAATCGAAGTGGCCGGCAAGAGTCTTCCCGTTCTCACCAATCTGGACAAGGGCCGTTATGGCGTCATTGTGTTTGAGAATCTGGACAAGTACCTCAACATGGACAAGTGGAATCGGGAGCTGTTGGACAAATATTGTCGGGAGTACTCCGTGGGTATTGTGGGCTTCGTGAGTCCCAGTGAGGAGACACTAGTGGGTGCCCAGCTTCGGGACTTCCCATTGTTTGTAAACACAAATCTGAGGTTAAGAGATGCCAGCTTGAATCCAGCTTCATCGGTGCTGCGATTAACACGAGCAGGGGAAACCGCATGGGGAGCCTTGCCCGGAGATGATTGGGCGGTTTTCCAGCATAATCACAGTACCTACGAGCCAGTGGAGTGGGCCCAGAGAAACACCCAGGAGTATCCAGCGGATAGTGTGGGTCAAGTGCAGCTGCCTCTGTCCACTGTTCTTCAAGATCGGGGCCACTTGGATGGGATACAGAGAGTGCTCTTCGGGAGCAGTTTGCGCTTTTGGCTGCATCGTTTGGTCTTCCTGGATGCCCTGAGCTATCTAAGTCATGGCCAACTTAGTCTGAATCTAGAGCGTATGATTCTGGTGGATATCGATGATATATTCGTGGGAGAGAAGGGCACTAGGCTGAGGCCAGATGATGTGAGAGCTCTGATAGCCACGCAAAAGAATATAGCTGCCATGGTACCTGGTTTCCGGTTCAATTTGGGCTTCTCGGGGAAGTACTATCATCATGGAACGAGGGAGGAAAACCTCGGAGATGATTTCCTGCTGCAGAATGTCCAAGAGTTTAACTGGTTCTCGCACATGTGGAAGCACCAGCAGCCCCATCTGTATGATAACCTAACCCTCCTGATGGCAGAAATGCACTTAAACTACGCCTTTGCCGTGGATCATAATATACCCACGGATTCGGGTTACTCCATATCACCGCATCACTCGGGCGTTTATCCAGCCCATGAATTACTATACTTAGCCTGGAAGAAGGTGTGGAATGTGAAGGTTACATCCACGGAGGAGTATCCTCATCTGAGGCCAGCTAGGTTAAGGAGAGGATTCATCCACCGCAATATCATGGTGTTGCCCAGGCAGACATGCGGTCTCTTCACCCATACCATGTATATTGATCGGTATCCCGGGGGAAGGGATAAACTAGATGAATCTATACAGGGAGGAGAACTCTTCCAGACCATAGTGTATAATCCCATTAATATCTTCATGACCCACATGTCCAACTATGGATCAGATCGTCTGGCTCTGTACACATTCCAATCGGTGATCAAGTTCCTGCAGTGCTGGACCAATCTCAAGTTGGCCTCAGCTCCGCCAGTTCAGCTGGCCGAGATGTACTTCCGTTTGCATCCAGAGGAGGTGGATCCCGTCTGGGGTAATCCCTGTGATGATGTGCGGCACAAGAAGATCTGGTCGAAGACCAAAAACTGCGATTCACTGCCCAAGTTCTTGGTGATTGGTCCACAGAAAACGGGCACCACTGCTCTGTACACATTCCTATCCATGCACGGCAGCATAGCGAGTAACATAGCCAGTCCGGAGACCTTCGAGGAGGTGCAGTTCTTCAATGGGAATAACTACTATCGAGGGTTGGATTGGTACATGGACTTCTTCCCCTCGGAAACGCTGCCCAATACAAGTTCTCCGATGCCCACGCAGCTGGGATCGCCCAGGTATATGTTCGAGAAGAGTGCTACCTATTTCGATGGCGAGGCTGTGCCGAAGAGAACTCATGCTCTGCTGCCGCATGCCAAGATCGTTACGATCCTGATATCACCGGCTAAGAGGGCCTACTCCTGGTACCAGCATCAACGTTCCCACGGCGATGTTATAGCCAATAACTATAGTTTCTATCAGGTAAGTTGGGACTCATCTAGGCATTATTTATAGCTCTCTCTCTCTCTCTCTGCTTATTTTCTGGTGAATTTCCTTCAAATCCTCAAGTAAACTCCATAGAAAACTATAATTAACTCGCCTCATTGCTTGCTTTTAAGAACAAACTCTGCCCCCCTTGATTGATATCCATTCGATACGATATCAACCGAAGCGAATACAAATTCCCCAAATTGCAATTTCTTATCTCGCAGTTTGAGAGGGGGAAAATGAAAAGAAACATTTAAGCAAACAGGAAAATTCATTTGGGTTCACCTCAAAAGAAAATCGAGAAAAACAAAACACAAAATAAATGTAGGAAAATCCTGTTTTAATTCAAACAACATTTGTGTGTGGGACTTGTGCTGCCGCTGCTCCATTGTGGAGCCACTACCTCACATCCTTGCAACCTCTTTCGTTGATACTTTGGCACATTTCATTTGAATTCCATGCTGGAAAATTTTCTATTTGCACCCGAGGTTGTCCCACAACTAACACATGTACGAATGCCTCAGATTACTCCGCCAGCTTGCTCTGACATGTGTCCAGGTCCAGGCCAAGGCACTCAAAACTCGTACGCCCACTCCTTGAAATTGCCACCCCTTGGGTTACACTTTGAATAAAAAGTGGGTTGTGTGGGAATAAAGAACTCTGAAGGGAATTAAAACAATTTATTTTGTAAATAAATTAAAGGAAATGAAATGGTAAAAGGTTGCAGTCGGAATGACTGGCTTTTAAAAGAGTTTAAAGATTTATTCTTTTGGAGAAATTACTGAAAAAAAAGGAAGAAGAGCTTAGTTCTTAGTTATTTTAAGAACCCAAACCCTTTTCTTTAACTGCATTTGAGTAAACTTTAAGTTCATGTTTTGATATAACACTGATTCCCTGGCATTCCACTTGTATTCTCTTCCACTTTCACCACTTGAACAGGTCATAACGGCAAGCGATTCAGCACCGAGGGCACTGAAGGATCTGCGGAACCGCTGCCTAAATCCAGGCAAGTACGCCCAACACTTGGAACACTGGCTGGCCTACTATCCCGCCCAGCAGTTGCACATCATCGATGGCGAACAGTTGCGACTGAATCCCATCGATGTGATGAACGAGCTGCAGCGCTTCCTGAAAATCCAGCCGTTGCTCGATTATTCAAATCACCTGCGATACGATGTGAAGAAGGGTTTCTACTGCCAGGCCATCAGCGAGAAGCGCAATAAATGCCTCGGAAAGTCCAAGGGACGTCAGTATCCGACGATGGATGAGCGCAGTGCCAAGCTGTTGCAGCGGTGAGTAAAATCGAAATTTGCCACCTCTCCTCCGCCCGCAAAATCCCAAAAAAAAATTCCGAAAAGGTGGGAAAAATCATGAAAAGTTCGAGCCATCAGTCGTGTGGGCCGGGTGGCTCTCGTTGAGTGATTTGGGACAGACAGACAGTCGGCAGGACGAAGGAGCAGCAGCAGCAGCAGCAGCACGGAGGCAGCTGCTTTGAGTGAAGGATTAATGAACATATGTGGGCATGGGCTGTGTGTTTGGGGGACAAAACTCGTCGCTTTTCTTTGGTTTTGGTTATTTCCTAGGGTTTTCCCCATGTTTTTTTCTCTTTCTGTTCATTTCGTGTGAAGGGTATGTGCCACTTTGCGGCCGCTAAAAGTGCACTTTGCTGTACTGCGATTTCCTCGTCGTCGTCGGCGGTGGCATATATGGTATGTGCCAGCTGTTGTCAGTTGACAAGGAAAACGATTTGCCGGGGCCGGGGCAGGGGGGAAATTTTCTAGGCCAACAACCACCGCACACGGAAAATAAACGGAAATGGAGATGGACAGATGGACTACTTTGTGAGGCATTCAACTGGAGTAAATGGGAAATATATCAGGGGAGTTCGGAGTTGAAGTTGGCCATATAAAAGTGCCTCGTAAGCTGGCGAAATTTGTTTCCTAGCGAGAGATTTTCCTGATGATGGTGGGAAAAGGTTGTACGAACATATGGGTAAAACCTTTCTATTTGAATGGGAGTTGTAAAGTGGAAAGTTTATTATATGAAAATAGGATTTCGAAAGTGAAGTAATCTTCTTCTGGTAAAGGTAAGGAGTACTTGGGTATTAGCTGACCAGCTTAGGAGTTGAGCTTTTCTAGTTCTATCATCAAAGTTGTACAAATCTGTTGGGCAAATCCAAATGGTTCATAAAAAACAATCAAGTGGTGGAGGCGGAAAGGAAGCTGAAATAAAATATTCAAAAACTTGGCTAACAAAGAGGTAGGTGCTGCTGCCAAGATAAGTCCCTGACGATCTGCATATTTGTTCTGTCTTTGAGGCGGGCAAACGCGCCCGATTTGAAATTCTAATTGTGCGCCCAGCACTTCCACTGCCTTCTTCCTGCATTTCTGATGGGAAATTTCTATGCTTTTTTTCTCTCTCTTTGGCAGATACTATCTGAATCACAATACGGCGCTGGTGAAGTTGCTCAAAAAGCTCGGCTCGCGGCCAATACCGCAATGGCTCAAAGACGACCTGTCCACGGGAACGTGATAGCAGCTGTTTGTTGGCGGGGGAGGAGGACGAGGAGGAGGAGGAGGTGGCAGCAGCAGCAGCAGCAGCAGCGGCGGCATAGGAGGCATTAAGTATCGCAAATTGCGGGCAAAACTCAGGAAACAGTTGCATTGGCTGCATTTGGCGGCCGAAAATGTGGAAAACGCTCAGCGACGACGACGTCACAACTGACAGAATGAAAATTTGGCGGAAATTCAATGGAAAACCCATCAAACGTGTTTTGTTTTTCACTCTCGGCAGGCTTTTGCAAATGCAAAATTTGACATAAATTAAATCGTTTAAGGTTAAAGTTTATAGAAGTTTAAAGACTTTTTTGACAAGTTTGAGTTTGAAAGTTAAAGTAATTTCAAATTTTATATCTAAACTGATAAATGTAAACTACTTAAGGCCATATTGTTTTAAAAACTTTAAGTTGATGTAAAAATATTTCAAAATTACGTTTTTTCAGTGCAGTTTTGCAAACTCTTGTCGAAAGTGAGAAAAACAACAACAGAACAAGGGCCGCCTGGCTTATAAACAGCTTAAAAGCAGCTGCTGTAGAAAAAAGTTAAAATTAAGAAGGAAAAAATAACATAATTAGTCGCTTTTAACATGCATAAATCTTTTTTGTTTGTTGCTATTGCAGCTAATTAATGTCACTGCAGTTGTCAGCTAAAGTTGTACAGTGGTGTGAGTGTGTATCTATGTGAGTGTGTTTATCTGCGAACATTGTGTAAATAGTCGAGTGTATGAATGTATGAGTATGCTTGGGCATTATAAATTATCATAAATAATATCATGAGGCATCATGAATAAATGCATAAATGCGCTTTGTTAGTTGTTTAATGTTTATTAGTTGGTAATGGCGAATTAAGCGCCTAATTAAGTTTAACGCATAATCCAGCACTTTCGTTATTACCTCAGACACCAATTCAGCTCTCCGCATCCTAAAGACTCGATCTTCTTAACATTTTTGACAGCTCTAAAACACATACTTACTCGTATATGTATTAACTACTACTTCACACGGCAGCTGGCAGAAACTGCTGTGTAACTTTAAGCATTTTTTAAATCCATGCCAAAACTGTAAGTTTTTTGTTCCAGCAGTTAACGAGTGCTACATACAGAAAAACACACACTAAAACATATATCGAAACTAGTATGTTAAGCATAAGGCTGCCTCTATCCCCTAAGTGTATTATATAGACGACGTTTTTAGCCTAAGCCTAGTGAGTAGATCTAAAATGCGCTTGTCACAGGCCTCCATGTAAAACTGTAAAACTCTAGTTGTACTTTTAAACGCAGCACTAAGCAAAGCTCTATTGTATAGTTGGATATATGCGTAACTGTATGAGGACTAGTTCAAGTTTAGATTCGTAATGCGACAATAATAAAAACGAAAATTATTGCAAGTGTAAAAAGGATTTGGTGTTTTCAATGTTGGTTACTTGGCTCTAAGGGAGAAGCCAAACCTCAGATTTCTACAAAGCTGTTGGTTGAATATCATTAGCTTTTTTTAATTTGATACTTTATCTAAATAAAATAGTAATTAGTTATAAATGATTTAAGGAAATCATTCAATTTTGTTAACAGCTTAGTGGGATAGCGGAGACTTTTTTTTTAACATTACTCACTTAACAGCAGCGTTCTAAAAGCTAAGACACTTTTCTTTACAGTGTACTAAAAGCAAGGAAATACACCTGGCAAAAGAATCCACCACAGCTAGCGAGAACATCATCCTCACCAAGCGACTGTTCCTTCTTAGTTAGCAAGTGCACAATCCACAGTTCTAGACATATCGATAGTATTGTTAGAACAAATATTTTAAGCCATCTCTATTTTGCAATGAAATTTTATTTAAAAATCTGGAACACTAAACTTAAGAAGACTGTGGAATAGCATATTTATTGTATACTTAGATAAAAATATTTAGCTTCGAAATAATAATATGCCAGTTAGTAGTTTTTCACTCATGCGTTTGTCTCAAATGGAATAATGATATAAAAGTATATATGGATAAATAACAATTGATTTATAAAAATAATTTTTTAAGGTCAGTATATATAAAAACTTCAAAAAAAAAAAATAAAATATTTTTAAATTCATGATTTGGCGCCTATCTTGCTAGTGAAAACAGTGAAAGCAGTGAACTAATCGATAGTTGCAGCTAAAAACCCCGATAATATCGTGTAAACACAGCTTTCCTTGGGCAGCTTTAGTTAGTTCATTTCTGTAGTTCGTTCGTGTCGGTTGTGGGTGTCAATGTTTTTTAATTTTATTGACAACTTTAAATATTAAAATTCGAAACGCGTTATTTAAGATATATATTTAGAAAAATATATATTTATTCAAAAATATAACGGTACATACGATTGGCGCGAAACAAGAAGCTGCTTAAGATATATTTAAAATCTAACTAGATAAGCCATATAACGATAATAGCACGTGCTAACAGGTACTCGGCAATTAACGACAGTTGCAAAAAAAAACACAAAATAAGAATATTAATAAAATCGCGTGCTCATACATATATTTGCCGGCTTAAAATAAAAATAGTTGTGGGCGAAGAGAGTGCGAAGAGAAAATAAGAGAGAGTGCCAAAAAAACGCCGCCTTGTTAATTATTAAGTTGCTGGAGCATATATCTTTCTATATATAATCCTATTCCGAGTGCTAATCGTTGGGGTTTTTGCCCTATGTGCCGCGTATGAAAAGTTAAAGAAGATTCGCTGGGTAAAACCGGTAATTCTCTCTGCCCCTTCTCTCCGAATATTCTCCCATTCTCCTTTTTGGCGCCCGTTCTGAGTTGCTTTTTGTTATTGTTAAAAGCGGCTTGTTGCATTTTCCCTTTCCACATCTTACACGCTTTTGTTTTAGTAATCAAAAATAAACGTTAAATTATTTTAAAATGTTAAGTGAAAAGAAAAATTGTATTGGTTCATTTATCGTGAGAGCTACCAATTCGGCTTAATATACTTCGGAAGGTTCTAACGGTGCCTCTGGAATTCCCGAATGATGAAAGGGGCACCGATAAAATTTCCGATTCGAAAAAAAAATAATCGTCTCGTTCATATCATTTCAATATTGGATTTTAAATGAGAGATAGTGCCAAGCCTCTTAGTGATCTTTCATTTTTGTAAATATTTTTCAACAACAACCAAAATACCAATACCGAATACCAAAGAATTCCGATATTACTCATTATTTAACCGTCCTACCACCCAAAATAACCGGTGTTCTTGTGATTCATAAAGCGTGAGGAAAAGTTTTCAGTGAAGTGTAGTGTCCAGGTGTAGAACCAGTTCCAGTTAAACGCGGAGAATCATGTCCAGAAATAGGGCCGCCATAGTCAGCGCCTTCCGGCTGTTCCTGCGACCCTCGACCACCACAACCCATCGTAGTCTCGCCCTCCGCTTGGCCCCCGTCACGACCTTTGCCCTGGTGAGTACTACACACACACACACCTATATAGTGTTGAAATACTGGGGAATACTGTCCGGGGGAGCAGCTGTTGCCGCCGTATCTGATCTATAAAAATACACGCACTTGTTTTACGAATGTGAGTAAGCCCATGGCTACAGTAGCGGGTGATATCGTAGTATCAAGATATTTTTAAGATGAAATAAAAAAGTAAATAGTGCCAGGAAGTTAGTCGTGATTCATTATTCTGAGTTTAAAAATTGAGAACAAAAATAACTGTTTATGATAAAATTTAAAATGATTTGTTTTTGCTTTTTAAAATTTAAAACTGCTATAAAGTTAACCGCAACTGTGGGAAGACAGATGTAGTTCTGAACTTTGTTACTTATACAGAAACGTTCGTTCCTTGTCCAAATTCTTATTTGGGTTGGGCACATTTTGTGTTTCAAATTATTAAAATTTATGCAAAGAACCAGTCTTAAAATACAATTTATAAGCTTACATATCTATATCTACGTGACATGCCAACATATGGCTCTCATTCAAGCTTGTTCTCTTTCTCTCCATTTCCCCCTTGTCTCTTTTGCACTCCCTTTTTGGCCGGGCAAACTTCATTTGGAGTTTAACTCTCTCCATCTTTTCCTTTGCCAAACTCTCTCTCCCACTCTCAGTTCCTTCTTGTTGTTGTTATTGCACCTGCGCGAAAAAAGGCCAAAGAAAGAACAACAAAAACAGCTGTCAGAAATGTTTATCATCACATGACATGATAGGTGGGAGGAGTTAGGAGATGGCAAGGGAGCGTAGATAGATGAGTGATTGCGGTAAATTTTTTTGTAAGGGAGAGAAGTTCGGAGCAATTAGCACTCGCTATGGCATCTCAGTGGCTATAAAACTGTAGGTCATTGATTTAATTAATTAGGGTGAGTCATTTTATTGATGCTGAGCGACCGATTTTCATTGTCTAACAATTACAAATGCTACTGCTTATCAGTGCACATTGCGAGCTTAGCTAAGTGAATCAGCGAAAGCATTTGAAATGAGAGTACAATCTGAGGTACAGTGAAACTTTTCTATAAAGAACTTTTTGTGTTCAAAATTTGAAAAATATGCAGATATTTTCTATTTATAAAAAATAAAATAAATGAAATAATAGCTTAAATTAAAGAAATCCTTAAAAAATGTATCCTTTTTGATGTTCCTCTGTAACCAAAAACAGGCCCATTCAACCGGCTGGTACTCTGCTAGTATTATTTCTTTTATGACAAACTCGATTTGCATACGAAATGATTAAATACGCCGTTATTTGCTCAGCTCAAGTGTCGGCAAAGGCGGGCGGCTTTTGAGCTTTTTTATTTGCAAAGAGAGCGGAACAAACAGAGAGCGAGTGTTGATGGCAGTAGGTCTGGGAAGCCCAGGGAGATATATCCACCGGGATTATTTACTTTTTAGCAGGTTATTTGCTCAACTTTTCCAACGTACGAGTGTCTGTCTCAATTTGCATTTTATTTTTGTTTTTCTCTGAGCTCTCTCTCTTAGCTGATTAAAGCAAATAGAAAAGGCAGCAACAAAGAAACCGACAACATAGATTGTCAAGCTCACGATTTTAGGAAACTTCTTGACCCGGATTTCCGTTTTTGGCATTCTAACGTGTCATAGTCTCTCCATAGCATGCTCTAGTTTTTCTTTTCACTTTAAATCTCTGGGCGTACGCGAAAAAAAATAAATAAAGTCCTGGGGATTTGTAGGATTTTTTTTTTCTTTGTTTTCGTAGAGCAGAAAAACTTTTATTGGCGCCATTTGGTCTGCCCCACAATACTCATGCACACATACAGACCTAGAACGTGTGTTGTTACAACTCCCCTCACTATCCCTTCAGCTATAGCTGTCTCTTTCCAGCATTTCCTTTTCAATGGGATTTTTGGCTTGCCCTCGAATTTCGGCATTTTTGCATTGTGTGTTGCCATTTGTTTTACTATATTCCTGTTTCCTGGGGCGTGGCACACACACAGACAGTGACAGTTGGAATAATAGCTAACCCCAACTATTGTTCCTGAAAAATTGCTAGCATATAGTACTAGCCAATTATACAATTATTTTTCGCTTTTCAAAAGTTTTTACACAAATTTTTTCATTACAAAGTTTTTAATAACAAGAAAAGTTTTAGAATAATTTTTATAGTAAGCTGTTGAAATTTCATAACTAGTTAGTAATATTTTAAGTTCTGATTCCTCTTTTATTAAACATTACATAAAGTGAAAAGATATACAGTTTGTTAGTATGAATATCAAAAACATATTGATTTCTGTTTAGGTATAATTAACCTTTTGTCTGACTAATAAAATGACGTATAAAACTTAAGTGTTACTATAAATACCTCCAGCCTAATAGTCGTAAATCAAATATTAATGGCTATAAACGATTTTATTGCCGTCTACATGATAGCCATTGTGGTCAATCTATTTTTGATACCAGCAAAACCTATTATTCTGACCACAATTGTATGTTTACGGGAATTTTCTCTACCGGTGCACAATAATTTTCCCAACATATGCAATAGGGCGGGGAGAGTGTGCTATGGGGGATCAATTGATATTTGATTAAATACACGAGTGCCATGATTCAGGCTTTGGAAGCGGCTTTATTTGTGCATCTCTGAGTGGGCCAGTGGGCAAACAGAAACACAGACTTCCATGGCAAACGAAAACAACGCGGTATTTATGCAAATGGAATTCATCATATCCAAAGTAAACCTGCACAGGTTGCACATAATGCAGCCCAAAGGTCAGCCGGGCTTAAAGCCAGGGCTTAGAGTCGTGGTGTATGGCGACTTTTTACCAAATCTGCTCATTAAATCAGGCTTAGTTAGTGATACTTAAAATTCATTTTTCAGCTATGCAAGTTTTTACCACTTTTCCTGCACACTTTTCATGGCTTTTAGCTGAGCTTAGCTTTTGCTGGGAGCTGCACTAAAAGAAACCACATTATTAGTACTGCTTTACTTTGAGAATGAAAATCTGTGAGGCTATATCAAGTTGGAATTTGAACTTTTTAAAAGGTTAAGTAAACAACCTTGATTGTAAATCACGTCACGATTGCCATATCGGCTTAATATTCTTGATCCACATTTTATTATAGACTGAAAGTGCAAGTTCAATACTCTCATTTAACATCTTACCAGTTTTTTACATATTTTCTTACTGATTATATTTTTCACTGCTTTTTTACACCCATCTTAAAAATAATATCTCAAGTTAAGAGCTTTTTCTGTTCTAAAAGATTTTTATAATCTTTTTTAGACTTACTCAACCTCGTTCACAAGTTTTTGCCTGCTAATTCCCAGCAAAGTCAAAGTTCTAGTAACTTTTTTTGTAGGCTGTTAGAGCTCAGTAAAATACTTAACTTATCAGCAGTTACTTTTTGACTTTCGCTAATCTCCTTCTTAAATACTATCAACTATTGTTTGATCAGCAAGTTTGTGCGGCTCTCACCTTAAAGTCCCCTTAAAAACATTCGACTTAACCCGCACACAAACATTTGAGCCGCAGAAAATCTGCATAATATAGAACTAGCATTTGCCACAACACACCCTTAGCCGCCCCTTCTCCCTAGGGCTTTTCCTTGCAAACTTGTGCACGTTTTCGCACATTTATCAGCGCTGCAAAATCTTTGCTTAGCTATCAGGGAAAACCGAAAAGCAAATTTCCCCACCAGACGTTGCAAAAATATTTGCATGCATATATATAGTATGCATGTTGCCACAAGTTGAGAGGATATTCGGGGTAATAGGGAACAAGGAGGCAAGGATTATACGCGTAATTAAAGCCATCGTAAACTGGTGGGAAGTGGAAGGGTTTTGAGAGGGCTCCTTCGCTTATGTCACAAACTAGCAAGACCTCATTAGGGCTCTCGCTGTCGCTTCATCAGCAGAACTTAAAGTTATGCCTCCGAAATTGCCAGCATAACTTGGTCGTAATATTATTCAACCGACAAATAGCTAACAGAGTGAATATCTTCTCGCCATACATTAAGCTGCACTGAAAGAAAAGGTTCTTAAGGGGATTTTTAGATGGAAAAGGTAAATATGATTGAAGAGTTTATCTTAAAGAAGATATGCAATTGAACTGAAGGAAACGCTAAGTCAAAGTGGTTTGAAATATAAGAGGAAAGATATTTCTCTGAACTAAAAACAAAGTTTGATTCTATCTTATAGAAAATCTATCCTTAATCCCAGTGTATTCATATTTATGTTTATCTTTGCCCTTTCCCCTTTGTGCCCGCCTGGTAGCCATGGTAATATAACTTCTGCCAACTTAGCCTTTGCCTGTGCATGGCCATTGCTCCTGCACTTGACTTCTGCTGTTGACAAGGGCGCCAACTGCCGAACAACCCCACATGTGAAACCTCCAACCCTGCTTAAACCCCCAACCCTTTTCTGCCACTCGAATCCCCCGCAACTTGTCGGTTTCAATGTTCCCTTTGATGTTTATCTAATGACTCTGAACGGAGCTGTGGCTGCATGTGTATCTAATAGATACAAGTGGCCAAAAGCCTTTTATGTATCTTTACTCCCTTTTCGCCCTTTTTCGTCGAGCACTTGTAATCCAATCTGCGAAACTATTTACAGTGCAGGTTAAACTGTAAGCGCCAAGGGAGAAAAAGAATCCATTGAGCATTTACCCAATTTCCCTTATCAATTTGTGTCGCTTTTTTTTCAGATAGAACTTATCAGCACTCACAGTCTGAATGAGAGTGTGGGCATATATAGAGGAATGCTTTATACATAATTCACTTGAGGCCACGCGACCCCGAATCAGCTTAAATAAATTATTTGTTCAATTTATAAAATCAACTCAATTCGATTTAAAGCATTCGAGAGGGGAGATCTCACGATTGCGATTGACCTGCGCCATAAAATATTTCAATGTTGTCAGCATAATTCTGTGGAAAGCCACTCGAGTTATTTGTGTTTGTGTTCTGATTTTAATTCAATTCTATTGACTACCAAAATGCGTTGGACAAAC